ATGTGGTGCTGGGGAATTGAACCGCGGTCCCTGATGCCTTGCCAAGCTTGTTCCAAGTAGGTGCTTTAGACCACTGAGCCATCTCTCCAGCCCCATTCTATATTCCTTAATGACAAATTTCTCCTAATTTTTTTTTAATAAAATAGCCAGATATATCTGTATTTTAAATAATATAATTCTGCTTATTATGGATTTTTTGTGAAGCAAGTATACCCAGAATAGAAGGAAATTATTTGAAATATCTTTTTCCCACACATACAAGCTTCTTGAAGGCAGAGCTGAGGTGATGTATGCCCACGTGAATGTCACACATTTAACTCAGTTGTGGCTGAGGGCCTCATGGTCGCTGTCTTCCTGGGAGGCTAAATCACCTCCATCTTCTCACCCAGCTGTACATCTTGCCTGGAACATCACTGTCGCTGCTGTTCCCTGGTTTGAGGAATGAATGTTCTGGTTTCTAGTTGTGTCCCAGGTATATCTGTTGTTTCCAGCACAGGCTGACAGCACCTTCCAGAACATGCCATCACCTGAAATGTATGTGGATCCACACTATTGACCTGCCTGTAGTCCTATTTTCTGGAGAGCTTTGCAATTTCTAAAACTTGTTTGAGTGCCATTCTTTTGCCCTCTTCTCTGCCACTGAGTCCAAATATCAGTCTCAAATAATGACAGTAGATCCATGACTCAAGTAAGAGGTCAACTATGTCCAGGGAAGTTCCATTCAGATTTGTTCCAACATAGAAAGAAATGATAAAGCAGCAGAACAGTGGGCCTTAGGTGTCTGACACAAGCTGAAGTTAGAAGGGTTTTCAGAAATGAATTGGATTCAGTTGAGGTGTTTCATAGTAGAAAGGGTAGAAAATGGAATTATAGAAAGAAAATGAGAATAATGATACTAGCAGCCTAAAGGAATGATGGCCAGTTGGGAAACAGGGAAAAACTTATGCTTCCCTGGACCCAGACAGAGATAAGGGACATTTCAAGAAAAAATGTCCAAAGCTGCTAGAGAAGGAAAAAAGAAAGTATTCATGATGGAGTCAGAGGAAGTTTCAGATTGAGGTGGTCTTGGGTCATCCCCTCTCAGCCCGAGGGAACCTGTGTCAACTGCCAGTATAAGGAGAAAGCCTGTTAAACTTTCAGCAGATGCTCATGAAGGTGTCAGTAGTTACCTAGTGCGTGGTCCCACTTGCAAACTGGAGAGTACTCAGTGTTTTCCCTATTTATGGCAATTCGTGTGTCCCAAGTAATAGTTGTTGAGATACAAGAGGCCAGTTTGAGATAATACTCAAAGGCCATGGAAGATGAAAGGATTAAACCTCACACTTAAGAGATCTCTGCTAATGGGCCTACAAATATTTCTGACTAGTCAGTCTTTTTATAATTACAAATTTTAAAAGGTTATAACATTTCAGATCATTCTGCTAATGTCTCAATAGCTGTTCAAAATATTAGATATCAAATCTTTATTGTTTGCTGGGCGAAAATCATTTTGACTGTATTCATAATTATCCTGATGATATTATTTGGCCCATGTATGCTTCATAGTTTCTTTGATTTGTCTCCTCCACATTCAAAGCTGTCATAACTACCCAAGATGAAAATTCCTGGTGTCTATTGAGGGCCTTTAGATAGAACTTCTGGAGACTATCTCTGATTGTCAGTTCACAACTATGACTCCTTTAAGCCTGAAGAACACAGAGTGGTCATCACCCATAGTTCCCTCACAGCAGTTTGGGTTACTTGTTCAGAGGGGGAAATGTTGTAGGCAGCTGAATTAGATAGAACTATTATAGACAGTCAGACAGGGCCAGGCCCTCAAGGAGGCAAGATGGAAGACAAGGTGACTTTGCAACTTGGAAGAGACAGACACTCCCTATGGGCCAAACCTCAAGACAAAAAAGGAAATATACAGATACATACTTCCCTAGGGATGGGCATCAGGTATAGATTGATATTCCAAATAGGTATCAATCACCTTGAGAGAGCCCTAATGAGTCACCAACCCAACCCTCAACCGGAAGAGACCCTGTCCTGTATTCATGCCTGCTTGCTATGGGACTTTCTTCCTCATTTGGTACTAGATTTAATTAATTTGACCTGTGCAATGGTGCTTGTAATCTCATTGGTTGACCATAGCTTTGTCCCACCCCATGCTCACCTAAGTGAGTTCTCATGTCTTCTCCAACACCTTAGACCTACCTCACTGCATGGTTTTCCTCTATAAAAGTCCCTGGAAGAGACCGCTTCCTAGGGACCACCCGCTTGCCCCCCTCCCCCATTTCTCTCTCAGACAGGAGCTTTTTTCCCCTCAATAAACATATTCTGCTCATAACCTCCATTTGTTCCTAAAATTCATTCTTTGGTTTTAGAGAGCACAAACTCATCCTAGGTACCTTTTAAGATTGAGAGATCAGTTTTTCTCCCTGTGTCATTTGGAGGTTTCCTGTATCATAACTACAGCCCAATAGAATGTAATATATGATAAGCTACAGAGGAAAACAGCATAAGGACCTGCTTTGCAGATGATTCTGTGCATTTTCAAGGCACCACAGACAAATGGACTGAACTGTGGACAGTGCACATTGCAGGACATTGTGCTGGGAATAAAACATGAGCAGATATGTTACAATATAATGATTCATGGGTTGTTGCTGAAGTTTTAAGTGGATTCCCAAAAGGAATTTTGTATGCAAAGATATTTCATGTAGAGGTATGTGAAGTTATCTTTCCATATACACAAAAGATTTAAATATATTTACATGTCATTTACAGACTAATGAAGAAGTGACCTCATTGGAATAGGTCTTTAATAATCAAGTGATCATGGTGGCTCACACTTATAATGCCAGCAGTCAGGAAGCAGAGACAGATGTGCATTTCCTGAAGTTCAAGGCCACACAGGGGTATATAGTGAATTAAACAATGGCCTCACTTACATAAGGAGACCTTTTCTCAGAAAATCAAAACATCATTACCAAAAACATTATACTGTAAAGTGTCCATGGTGACAGAATTTGAGCTCATGAATATTAGCCATCCTTGGGAAATTTACCTTGAAATTTTTAAAATTGTAGAATGGTTAGCTTAATTTCAACTGTATTTCCTGAATGCTGAACAGAAAACTCCTGAAGCAGCTCTATTGCATTTGTGAGTGGTTTTACCAGCAGAACTGTGAAATTGGATTAACACAGGCAGGAAATGCTCAGGACTTTGAAAGTGTGAAACAGGACATATTTTGTGGCATTGCTATGCCTACTTTGTATACATAGCAATAAAAACTTTGTGATATTCTGGACCAGAAGTTATTTCTTGGAAAGCTTAAACTCTGTTCCTTCTGTGTTGGTTAATTTCAACTTCTTGGAGTCAAAGACAGTTTTATCCTTACTAGTGATAACTATGTTATTTGCAATTAAAGCTAGTAATCCCACATGGTTTGTCTTGAATTTTCTTATCAGATTATGCAAATTCAAAACCTCCTCTGTATGATCCTGAAGCTACAGAATATAGGACATCTGAATATGAATTATGCAGTCTTGACTGTGGATCTTCCTCCATAACTTCCAGGGACTTCTGAAAACAATTTCCAACAAAGATGTTCTGGTTCAGCTAATCTTTTCCTACCAGGGCACACGTGGCATTGCAGTACAGTTCCTGGGTACCTTCTAGGAAGTCTAAGATCTCCTGATCCACTAATTCCCAAATGCTGTCAGGAATATGTGATGAAAGTCTTCTTATCCTTTCATCATTGGATGAAGTGCAGCTGTTGGAATCTGGGAGAGGGCTGGTGCAGCCTGAGACTGTCCTTTACAGCCTCTGGTTTCATCTTCAGCAGCTACTACATGGATGGCATCCATCAGACTCCAGGAAAGGAGCTGGAGTGGATCTCATACTTTAGCGGTGGTAGTAGTGATACGAAGTATGTAGACTCCATGAAGGGCCAGTTCATCTCCAGAGACAACAACAAGAACATGCTGTATCTACAAATGAACAATATGAGCACCAAGGTCACTGCCTTGTATTATCATGAAAAAGACACAGTGAAGGGATGTCCATGTGAGCCCAGACAAAACCATCTGGGTCAGGACACTGAGGATCAGCTGGGTTCCATGGGGTTCTGCTGGGCACAGCCCACAGACCCAGAGCAGGTTCAGAGCAGGAAACTTTGGACTGAGGACTTCCTGTTGGCCTCTGGGATTTCCTCTGTGTCTTAACATTACATAACTGGAAGGGGGTTAAACTATACAGGTTACAGATAACATACCATGTATTGTAAATAAAAATGCACTTTTCCTTATGCATGTTTCTTTCTTTCATATAAATTGTATTAATAGCTCATAAACCTGTATCTTTTATATTTTCAGAAGTTTCCTTTGAATGTCACATCTCATTATGTAAAAATGAAATTCTAGGTTTTCTCATGATGAGGAACGATTGTCTGTTGCAGGAGTAAATGTCACATTAGGAAAATAAACTGTTCCTGTAACTCTCCACATGGTCTGAGAATGTACATCTCTGTCCTCCCCTTGGTTCCTGGAGCAGACCTGCATCCTTAGCACCATGCAGAGCACTGAGCTCAGGGAGGAGAAACATGGACAGCTGGGCTGGAGTGTCCAGGGACCTGCTTGTTCTCTTTCTGGCAATGTTATTTTTTATACATATTTATTTTTTAATGAGAAATAAATATGAATGAGATAGTTTCACAGCTGATTAATAGGACAGTTTTGTTGTCAATACACTGTGCATTGTTATCTTCTTAGTGGTTATCCATAGTACAAGATGCAGACAGGATATTCTGTCCAAACACTGTTAGTACAGCTCTTTCTTCTCATTGAGTTAAGCGAAAGTAGCTGTAAATTTATCCTAACTATTTTGTATATACAAATACAAAATGATCTTTCCTTTGTATCTTTTATTTTTATTTTTATTTATTTATTTATTTATTTATTTATTTATTTTTTGGTCCTGTCAGAGGTGAATATTCTATTGGCATCTAAACACTATAGGTGTTTGAATTCAGCTAAACAATCTAACACTATCTAGCAGTCTATAATATTAGTGAGTTATCCTCAGAAGTTATTGAGTTGAGCCTTTTACAGCTCATTGTATTAATATGGATTTACTTTATTTACTTATTTTTTTAAATTTATTTATTTGTGTGTGTGTGTGTGTGTGTGTGTGTGTGTGTGTTGTGTGTGGCCAGCTCAGCTCACCAGGGTCTGGCTGGCATGTGGTGCTGGGGGATTAAACCGCGGTTCCTGTGCTTTGCTAAGCTTGTTCTAAGTAGGTGCTTTAGACCACTGAGCCATCTCACTAGCCCGGATTTACTTTATATACCTTGTTTTTATACTTTTCTGCTGGATGGTTAAGACCAAGATATAGCAAGGCCTATATACCAAGGAATGTAACTTTTGTATCTCATAAGGTCAGCCAAGTACTCTCAGGATTTACCCTGTAGTCCTGTTCTGCCTTTTGTACATCCTTTTGTCAGTGTTTGACATGAGGATGAGTCACAGCCATCGCTTGACCAATTTTCTCTCTGTGAAAGCTTGAGAAAATGTTTTTTCTCTTCATGTGACTCTCCCCAGGCTCACTTTAGATCCTTGAACACATTTCTCTATGGCTCCATAATCTTCTTGATCAGAAAATTTTGAGTACAACTGAGTTACATATTGTTACAGTATAGGTTCTCCTATGTCCCGAGTCTTCACTGACCTTGAAAGGCTAGGGACAAAATGTTGGCTAACCAGGCCTTCCTTTTCTTCAATTTTGATCTGCTAACTTAGGTTGTTAACCCTCCAGAAGAGAAGCTAATTATTAACCTGCAATATATGCAGTTTGGTTTACCCTATCTGTCGAAATATCAAACATTTTGGCATATCCTGGAACAGGTATTTTCCATCAGATATTGATATGTTGAACTTTAAGTCCTTAGAGAATATGAAGGAAAAATAATTATGCAAAAGTAGAAATAAGCATTTACATATTTTTACAAAGAAATTTAGAAACCTAATCATATACAGAATTGTAAGTCCTTATAATAGGGAGACAATATGATATTTACAGATGTGGGTCTGGTTTACTTCACTAAACAGTATATCTTCAGGGGCATCCACTTAAATATGAAGGCTTCAAGTTTATCATTCTTTATATCATTCTTTATATAGTTGAGTAGTACTCCATTATATAAAAGTACCACATATTTTTCAACCATTCCACATGTGATGGGCATTTTGGTTGTTTCCAAGATCTGGCTATCACAAATTGTGCTGCTATAAACATAGGTACGCGTATATCACTATGATATGACACTTTCAGTTCCTCCGGGAAAATTCCAGTAAGGGGATAGCAGGCTTGAATGGGATTTCCAGTCCTAGTTTTCTAAGGTGTCTTCACACTGATTTCCATAATGGTTGCACCAGTCTACACTCCCACCAACAGTGGAGAAGGGTTCCCCTTTCCCCACAGCCTCTCCAACATTTGTTGTTGGTTGATTTCTTTATTAGAGCCAATCTTTCTGGGGTGAGATGATATCTCAGCATTGTTTTAATTTGTGTTTCATGGATGGCTAGTGATGTGGAACATTTTTTCATATATTTATTCGCTTCTTTAATTTCGTTCTCTGAGAAGTGTGTGTTCATCTCAGATGCCCATTTCTGGATTGGGTCTTTAAATTTAGGGGTCCTAATGTTCTTTAGTTCTTTATAAATTCTAGAGAGCACACCTTTGTCTGAGTGCTTATTAGTTAAGATTTTTTCGAAGTTTGTGGGTTGTCTTTTCACTTTGTTGATAATTTCTTTTGATGTGAAAAACTTCTCAATAAAGGTGGTCCCAGTTGTTAATTCTTTCAAGTGTTTCCCATGTAATTTGGTTTCTGTTCATGAACTCTTTGCCTACCTTATGTCTTCAAGAGATCTTCCTACGTTTTCTTCTAGGCGATTTAGTGTTTCTGATTTAATGCTCAGTTCTTTAATCCATTTTGATTTTAGTTTAGTGCGTGGTGATAGACCTGGGTCAAGTTTTAATCTTCGGCATGTAGAGAGCCAATTTTTTTCAGCACCATTTGTTAAAGAGACTATCTTTCTTCCAGTAAGTGTGTTTGGCACCTTTGTCAAAGAGCAGGTACCTGAGTGCATTCCTAGAGGCCTCTGCATCTACAAGTCTATTCCATTGATCTTCAGGTCTATTTTGTTGCCAATACCATGCTGATTTTATTACAGTAGATTTGTAGTATAATTTCAAGTCAGGAATTATAATCCCTCCTGCTTTGTCTTTGTTAGCCAGGACTGCCTTTGCTATTCTAGGTCTTTTTCTTTCTTTCTTTCTTTCTTTCTTTCTTTCTTTCTTTCTTTCTTTCTTTCTTTCTTTCTTTCTTTTTAAAGATCTTTGATTTCTTTTTTTTCTTTTTAAATTTTTTTTTATTTTTATAAAGAATACAAAAATTGTAATAAAACAACATTAGATACATTACAAAATTCACCAAACAAAGTAACAGGAATTCAACAATGGATGCTGTACTGCATGACGTTATCTTCAAATTATTTGTTTAGGTTACCAGATACAAATGTTGAAAATTGATTTTAAAAAGTTATAAGGAATTGAAAAGAGAAAGAAAGAATAAAAACAAAAAGAATTTAAGGATTAACTTCTTTCAAAAGACCAACAGAAATCGTCAGTACAATTATCCAAATTATCCTGCATATATATATTTCCCCGTTATCTTTTGTCCTTTTCTTCACTCCATTTTTTGCCCTCAAGACAGCTGTTCCTCTACTAGTATTTTTCCAAAAGAACTGAAATCATCATACTACAGCGATACCTATGCACCATTGTGTTAGGAGTGCAATTTGTCATAGCTAACTCTTGGAAGCAACCCAAATGCCCATGAACTGAAGAATGGATTTTAAAAAAAGATATGGTATTTTTACACAATGGCATATTTATTCAGCTATAAAAAAGATAAAGTTGAGGCTTTTGTAGATAAATGTATTTGATTTCTTTTTTTAAAAAATTTTTATTTATTTTTTTGGGTGTGTGTGTGTGGCCAGCTCAGCCCACCAGGGGGCATGTGGTGCTGGGGGATTGAATGGCGGTCCCTGTGCTTTAGCTAAGCTTATTCTAAGTAGGTGCTTTAGACCACTGAGTCATCTCACCAGCCCTCTAGGTCTTTTTTGATTCCAGATAAATTTTAGGAACATTTTCTCTAGGTCTGGGAGGTATGTTGGTGGTAGTCTCATAGGAATTGTATTAAATCTATACAACAATTTTGGGAGTATGGCCATCTTCACGATGTTGGTTCTTCCTATCCAGGAGCAGGGAATATCTTTCCATTTTCTGAAATCCTCTGTGATCTCTTTTTTCAAAATACTGTAATTTTCTGTGAAAAGATCATTGATTTCTTTAGTTAGATGAATTCTCAGGTATTTCATTTTCCTCGGTGCTATTTTAAAAGGTATTGTCTCCCTAATTTCCCTCTCAGTGTGTTTGTTATCTGTGTAGAGGAATGCTATTGACTTTTGGGTATTGATTTTATATCCTACTGTTCTACTGAATTAGTCTATCAATTCTAGTAGATACTTAGTGGAGTTTTTTGGGGTCTTCCAAATAACATATCATGTCATCTGCAAATAATGATAGTTTCACTTCCTCTTTACCTATTCTTACTCCTTTTATTTCTCCCTCTTGTCTAATGGCTTTAGCTAATGATTTCAGAACTATATTGAAGAGGAAGGGTGATAGAGGACATCCTTGTCTTGTACCTGATTTGAGAGTAAAATATTTCAGTTTTTCCCCATTGAGAATTATATTAGCCATTGGGTTGTTATAGATGGCTTTTTAACAGATTGAAGTAGAGGCTTTCTATTCCAATTTTCTGTAGGACTTTGAACATGTATGAGTGTTGGACTTTGTCAAAAGCCTTATCTGCATCAATTAAAATGATCATGTGGTTTTTGATTTTCGCTCTGTTGATATAGTGTATTACATTTATAGATTTTCGAATATTGAACCATCCTTGAATCCCTGGGATGAATCCTACCTGGTCATGGTGTATGATCTTCTTGATGATTTGCTGTATTCTATTTGCTAAGATTTTATTGAGGATTTTTGCATCTATGTTCATGAGGGAGATTGGCCTGTAGTTCTCTTTCTTAGTTGTGTCTTTCCCTGGTTTTGGTATCAGCATAATACTTGCCTCCAGGAATGATTTTGGGAGAACTCTTTCCTTTTCAATTTCACTGAAGAGTTTGAGGAGTGTAGGGATTATAACTTCTATGAATTTCTTGTAGAATTCAGCTGTGCATCCCTCAGGACCTGGACTTTTCTTTGCCGGCAGGCTCTTTATTACAATCCTTATTTCCATGGCTGTTATTGACTTATTGAGAGTTGTTATATCTTCTTGATTCAGTTTTGGTAATTTGTACCTATCTAGAAATCTGTCCAGTTCATCTGTGGCTTCTATTCTGTGAGCGTAAAGATTCTTAAAGTAGCTATTGATAATCTTCTGAATTCTACTGGGTCTGTAGTAGTTATACCCTTTTCATTCTTTATTGCTTGTATTTGAATTTTTTCTTTCCTCTTTTTGATGAGGTTAGCTAGGTTCTTATCAATTTTATTTAATCTTTCAAAGAATCAGCTTTTTGATTCGTTAATTCTTTGAACTGTTTTCTTCATCTCAATTGAATTAATTTCTGCTCTAATCTTTATGATTTCGTGCTCGCTTCGGCAGCACATATACTAAAATCTTTATTATTTCTTCTCGTCTTTGGGCTCTGAGTTTGTTTTGCTCTTCCTTTTCTAGATGTCGAAAGTGCAGCATTAGGGTGTTTATTTGTTCCCGTTCTGTTTTCCTACTGTGTAAGTTCCAGCTATGAATTTCCCTCTGAGAACTGCTTTCATCACATCCCATAAATTACAATAAGTTGTGCTTGAATTTTCATTGAATTGTAGATATTGTTGAATTTCTTATTTAATTTCATCTGTAACTGATTGATTGCTGAGTAGGGTGATGTTTAATTTCCATGTATTTGCCTGGTTTTTCTGGTTTCTTTTGTTATTTATTTCTGGTTTCATTGCATTGTGGTCAGATTATATGCATTGGATAATTTCTGTTTTCTTTCACATACTTAAGCATGACCTATGTACTAGAATGTGATCTATTGCAGAAAATGATCCATGTGAAGCTGAAAAAAATGTGTATTCCACTGTGGTTGGGTGAAATCCTCTGTATATGTCTACCAAGTACATTTGTTCCAAGCTCTGGTTCAGTTGCTGTGCTACTTGTTTGCTAATTTATTGTCTTGTCGATCTATCTATTTGGGATAAGGGGGTGTTAATGTCTCCTGTTAAGATTATTGTATTGGAAATTAGATTTTTCATGTCTATTAAAGTTTGTCTTACATAGTTGGGTGCTCCCATGTTTGGTGCATACATATTTATGATTGTTATTTATTCCTCTTGAATTTTTCCTCTAACTAGCATATAGTGGCCTTCTTTATTTCGTTTGATCATTCTTCATTTGAAGTTGAGACTGTCTGAGAATAGGATTGCTACCCCTGTTTTTTCTGAAGTGCTGGGGCATGTAGTATTGATTTCCATCCTTTGACTTTCAGCCTGTGAGTTTCTTTATGAGTTAAATGTGTTTCTTGTATGCAACATATTGTTGGATTTTGTTTCCTAATCCACTGTGCCAATCTATTTCTCTTAATTGTTGAATTGAGTCCATTTACATTGGTGGTTATTATGGAGATGTATTGACTTACGATTGACATGTTCTTTGAATGTTGTTTTTAAACTGTTTTTTCTCCTGTGTTTAATTGTTTGTCCTGTTTAATGGGTTTCTTCTGTTCTCATTGGTGGAGTTCTGATCATTTTGGTCCCTCTCTAGAACATCTTTCAGTAGTCTGTGTAGGGTTGGTTTTGCCATCATGAAATTCTTTAGTTGTTCTTTGTCATGAAAGTATTTCACTTCTCCATCAAACTTAAAGAGAGTTTTGCAGGGTATAATAGTCTGGGTTGGAATTTGTTTTTGTAGAGGTCTTGAAGTACTCTGCTCCATGCTCTTCTTGCCTTCATGGCTTGTGAAGAGAAGTTGGCTGTAATTCTGATGGGTTTTCCTTTGAATGTGATCTGCTTCTTTTCTCTAGCAGTTTTCAATATGATATTCTTGTGTTGGATTTCTGGGATCTTGACTATTATATGTCTCGGTGTGTTTTAATTGGGTTGAAGTTATTTGGAGTTCTGATGCTTTGGTTATGTGAGTATCAGATTGTTTCCTCATATTTGGGAAGTTTTCTGCTATTACTTCTGCCCATATTCTTTTTATATCATTTGTATTGACTTCTTCATTCTCATTGATGCCTATTAGTCTCAGATTGTTCATCTTTGCATTGTCTTGCAGGTGATGAGTTATTTTTTCCTGCATTCTAGTTTTTTTTTAAGAGATCCTTTCTTACCTTTTCACTAGGTGCACCAGCATCTTCAAGATCTGAAACTGTATCTTCATTTTTGCTCAAACGGTTTTTCAGGCTTGTAATTGAGATTTTAAGGTCCTCTACATCTCTTTGACTTTGCTTCATGCAATCTATTTCTTTTCTGTATTGCTTATTCAAGGAATCCATCATTTTTTAATTTCCTGTATTTTTTTTATCAATGTCTTCTTTAGAAGCTGTCATTAATTCTTTTACTGCAGAGTTTTTAACAGATTGGGTTTCTTCTTTAAGTTTCTGTATTTGAGTCTTTAGTTCAGGTACTATGAGTTTAGAGATTTCTTTTTTCATTTCAGATACTAATTCTGCTTTGAGTTCCTTTAAACCTTTCTGTAGTTGCTTATTTACTTCTGATGCTATTAATTCATGTATTTCAGCTAAGCTAGTAGCCACTGCATTTGTTCTGGTTGGGCATTGTTTTTCATCCATATGTTTCTGCATTTGATTCTTAAGTTCAGCTGCTATAAATTCAGAGTTTTCTTTTTTTTTTTAATTCCAGAAATTAATTCTGCTCTGAGTTCCTCTATAACTTTCTGCTGTTGTTTATTTACTTCTGATGCTATTTGTTCATTTATTTCCGCTGAGCTAGTGTCCTTTGCACTTTTTATGGGTGGGCTTGAGACCTGAGATTGCATTTT